TTGATGCTAAAATCGCGCTTTGCGACTGTTTTTTAAAGAAATTATTTATCAAAAACCGAACCCGCGTCTTGGGTCACTTGACCTGACCCCAGAGGTCACCGGTTGACCTGAGACCTTAAAATCGGGTACAAGTTGCTGTGTCTCCTAACGGCACACACGCTCGTTTTTTTTTTCTGCGACGCTCTAACTCTATCAGGGGCGAAAAACCACAAGGGGGTCGTACCAACCCCCCCCCCCGGCCGGCGCGTATGTAGAAAACCAACAGGTCCGGCGGGGTTAACTCTCGCCCTTATTAGCGTTTTGCTAGCCGCAAACGCGCGGGGCGGGGCTAGGTTATTGGTTGACCTTCCAGGTCAGGTCAGTGACTCAAAAGTCGGGAAAATCGGGACCTGTTAAAACTTGGAGAGTTAGGTTGTTATGAGGTTTTCGGAGCGCTGCTCACGAATTTCATGTTAACTTTGATCACCGATGATGTCTTGATGTTTTTAGGCCAGATCGGGTCAGGTCAGGTCAGGTCAACCACTAGGCGTCTTGCTAGCTGCCCATAGCAGGTGTCAACCACCGCTGACAGCTTCGTGACATGGTACGAAGGCGCCAAAATTACTTCGTAAATGTTTAAATGGATGCTGAATTCGAAATCAGCTCCAAAAACTAGCCTAAAATATATGAACCCAGAAGAAGTGAACTAAGGTCATCAAAGGTCAATGACCTTGACCTGATCTTCACGTGACCTTAATGATACCCACCATAATGCATGGGACCATGCCATCATTTCACATGTTTGAACGTTTACAATCACAAAGACTGGAAACGAGCGGATAATAGCCGTTTTCACGAAGGGCTTCCTGGCGAATGCCCATCTAATTTGAACAAATCTGCACCAAATGTGCACCTGATCTGCACAAAATGTGTACTAGATGGCCGTCGTGAAATACTCCTGAGCTGAATGTTCAAATTTGGTTCTCCTTTCCTTGTTCTCCTTCTGAACTAGGTTGAACAAGATTTTCATTGGACAAGATTGTTGACGGCCCTCCTGTGAAACGAGACTCGATGAGTTCTTAAACTCCCTAGTTATTTTGTAACAACCCTAGGTTCGTTGCATACTGACTAGGGAGGTTGCAACGACCCTAGTTTCGTTACAACGTCCCGGAACGAGCAGTTATTTTGTAACGTCCCTAGGTTCGTTGCAAACAAGCTGATCGTTCAGGGAGGTTACAAGTTACAACCACCCTAGGGTCGTTGCAAACTAACTGAAATCGCATACTCCCTGTAACATAAATACCCATGTAACTCAAGATTCATCTTCAGTGACAAAACTCTTTTCAAATTAATACAGGACACATATTCAAACACACTTTTGATCATAAAATATATCGCACACGCACATGCAATAGTTCGAGTTCAGCTTCGAATTAGAAAACTGCCTAATGCAATTAAAAGTACAATGACGTACACAACGAAACAGCTACATAAAAGTACACAGTTAAGCAGTGATACGTAGCTCTCGTAGTGACCACTAGCTCAGCACTTAGGCAAGTCACATCGTACAGGTCAACTACTGTCATCTCCCTCAGCATCATCCATCAGAGACCATGCCTTGTCATGTCAATCATCACTAGGGATAGACGACTTTCAAATTTTGAGTAGAAGCAGTACATTCCCTGATTTAAAGGTAGTGTGCCAGCTTTCCTGGACCATATGGAGTTAATGACCCAGATAAGGAGAACCGGATTTTTAGAACTTATCCATACCTTCAAAACTTATGGAAACGTCTTAAATTCTTCAAATTTTGAGTACCCCAGTGCGAATTTCGCCCCGACGGGTTGTCGGTCGTACCCCAACCACATTTCACACCACTATGAACAATAAATGCACACACTAAAATCGCTATTACCGATAGGCTCATCCAATCAAGTTTCGATAAACCCGTTCATCATCATCTCCTGCGGTTTCGAACACGCCTGTTAGGTGGCTTCTGATGCTCGTCGAGGTCGGAATTTCCAAATACGCGTGGTGCGTCGGGCCGCGCGCTCTGACTTCGGCCAAGAAAAATGCGTCAGCTGATCATTGTCATTTCTGCCACTTGCGTGTGGTGTAATGGGGTCATAACTTAAGAGACGGCTGTTTCATATCAATTATTTTACATAAAATCATATTTCAAACCACAAATTAATGTTCGACAGCCAAATTTAAGAAACAATACCAATACAGGCTTACAGTTTAAGGCTCGACATTGTGTTGTCTACGATTAGACAGCTGATAACTCATTCCCGTACGTCGTATGGTCGTAACACTATAATGACCTTTGCGTATTGTCACAAGTGCGCCGCATTCGCGATTGTTGCCCGACGCCTGTTTGCAGGTGAGCCCACTACAGTTGTTATACATATCTAAAAACCGATAAACTTTTAGGCGAAAAAGGCACTATTCCAGGCCCATTTTTGATTTTTTTTGCGATATTAGGTAAAAACAGAAGCTTCTTATCCTAGGAAAAATAAAACGGGAAATCTTTCAAAGGTGGCACACTACCTTTAAGAATTCTGGAATCGTTGTATATTCATCGTCTGAGGCCGCAAATCAACGACATGTCCTCGGCGTATCCACTACGTATCACTGCTTAACTGTGTACTCCCATGTAACTCGCCTCGTTCGCCTGTGTGCCTGAGAGAGCGTGTGACTTACCGTGAGACCGTGTCAAGCCGTGTCACTCGAGGCACAGCCGACAGACTCTTGGAGCTGCCCAGGGTCCGTACAGAGATTGCTCGTCGCTGCTTTGCATTCCGTGCTGTTTCCGCATGGAACAGCAGCAAGTCGGTATCGCGCGACTCGGCGAGCTCGCGGACTTGTACTCGGCGGGCGCAGTGATCGCACCACCAGCCAGCCGATATCTGATGTCTCTCATTTTATTTGTACCTATTTCTACTTTTTATTTTTATACCTACCTTTTATTATGAATGTGAATGTGCATGAATGTGAGTACCATTGTAAAATGTGACGCGTAACCGGAAGAGCCACCACGTGGAGTGTTATAAGAATACATGATTGATTGATTGAAATAAAATGGAAATGGAAACGAAAGGGAAATAAGACGGTCTGGGAGTGTTGATATAAGAAATGACATTATTCTTGAACTAAATAACTTTGATTGCACTGATTACTGTTTAAAGCTGGAAACCCACCACGAAACCATATGGGAACCATGTGTGTGTGTAGACCATCTTGAGCCCATGCCCATGTAAACCCACCTAATAGGTACATCTAAAAACCATATGCTAACCATATGGGTCTGTTATCTGGGCGGTTGACCTGACCTGACCCGACCTGGCCTAAATGCATGAAGACATCATCTGTGATGAAAACTTACATGATAATCGTGATCAGCACCCCGCAAGACCTTATAGTAGTCACACTTACAACGTTCTAACCGGTCCCGATTTTCCCTACTTTTGGGTCATTGACCGGACCTGGAAGGTCAACCAATGACCTAGGACCTTAAAATTGGGTATCATCAGCTTCCTCTCGTCACGGGCAACACGCTCATTTTTTTTTCTCGAAGCTCTAGCTCGATCAGGGGCAAAACGGCAAGGGGGTCCCACGGACGACCCCACCCCACAGTGATGCAAATGGGGTTCACGAGTGGCCATAAATACCCAAAAGTCAAGTTTACCAAATCGAGTTGATTGCGATATGGCCGAGTAGACAAATAATTGGGGCATCTGAAATCACATGGTTTCCATGTTTTTGTCAAAACCGGCCTCGTGTATAATCGTGACATTTTCTAGGTCGTAAAATGACGGTCAGACACTCGCAAGTTCAAACGCCGCTGGTTTGCGTTCATTTCGTACAAATTGAAAAAATTGTGCGTGGGAATGATCCCCAACGCCTTCTGCTTCTAATGCCGGGTCACAAAAGCCGTATCTTATTCGCTTTGGCAGTAATCTGACTATTTATCATCATGTTGCAATCGCAGTTTTTTACTAAGAAAAAAAAAATGCTTTCGTTTCACCTACAGCACTTAACACAGTGTGTGCCTGTTAGTCCACCATACCATAGCCTTCCCTTATCATTTCTGAGTCGCATCGTGAAAGAATTAAGGCGCTAGCACAGGGCTGACCGACGCTACAGAGGTTTTTGTCCGGGCGGTCGGGTGCCTCAGTGGGCGCGCAGTGGGCGGGTGGGTGCCGCCGCGCGGCGTCCGGGCGGCGCGGCGGCGCGGCCGCCCGGGCCGCCCGCTGCGCCGCGGCACCCGACCGTGCCGGACGAAAACTTCTGTAGCGCCGGTCAGCCCTGTGCTAGCGCCTTAATTCTTTCACGATGCGACTCAGAAATGATTAGGGAATGCTATGATATGGTGCACTAACGGGCACACACTGCGTGAAGTGCTGAAGGTGAATTGAAAGCAAATATTTTTGGTAAAAAACTGCAGATGCAACATGATTACAAATAGTTAGCTCACCGCCAAACCAAAATAGATACGGCTTTTTATGACGTGGCATTAGAAGCAGCAGGTTTCGGGGATCATTTTCATATATAATTTTTGCAGTTTGTATGACATGAACGCACGCTAGCGGCACTTGAATTTCAGGTACCTGACAGTCATTTTACGACATCGAAAATGTCTCGACTTCTGACAATCATACACGAGGCCGGTTTTGACAAAAACATTGAAATCATGCTTTTTCAGGCACCCCAAACAATTGCCTGACTGACAATATTACGATTTATTCGATTAAGTGAACTTCAATTTTAGGCCTCTTTCGTATTTATGGCCACTCGTGAACCCCATTTGCATCACTGTGCACCCCCCTGATACATTCGCGGCTGGCAAAACACCAATACGGGCGAGGGTTAACACACATATGACCACTCCTTACTCTCGTGTGACCGCTTTTTATTCCCGTTTGACGGCTCTTTACTCCCGGGTGAACGCTCTTCACTCCCATATCCCGCCCGTCTGCGCCTATGTCGATTTTTTTTGCAAGTCCAACCCGACAAAAGCGTCACCGGGTAACTCTTGTATTGCAAACATTACTCTAACCGGGATAACATTGACATTGACAGCAGTAGCTCTGTAGTGATTCACATCCGTTAACAAATATATGTAGCATGCTTCTAAGGCTCGGCTTCAATGTTATTTGACAGCCATTTTCAGGTTAACTCCCAGAAAACTTCCTAACCAGATTTATTCCTACAAAGCTGATATTCTTTCACGAATCACCGACGGCGAAGGTCATCCCGGGATCCTGAATTTCGTTTATTTCTAGCAAACAAAAATCTATTTTTCACAGAGGGTGTCACTGAAGTTATGAGTTGAACAAAGTAAGTGGCTGTTGTTATTGTGGTGTATTTCTCGTCCAAATCGGGTGTCCGTGTGGAGTGCGCTGTGACCATAATTTGACAAAGACTTCCGAAAAACTCGGCCTTCAAGAGTGCAGGGGTCACCGATCCGCCCGGACGGTCCGTGGCGGTCCTCCAGGGGTCACCGGACGGTCCGCGGCGACCCTCCATGGGTTGGGATCACGATTTGGTAGTCTGCGTACCGCCACCGACGTTGACAGAGCTGCCCACGTCTCCGACCTGCGGCAGAGGGCGCCGGTCAGCGGTCACTGGCGCCGGATTGTGCCAACTGTTCATTGCGATAGAGGGCGCCGGTCGGCGGTCACTGGCGCAGGATTCTGCCAACGGTTACTGGCCACCGCCGAACTGGGCGCAGGTCGGCGGTCACTGCTACGGTACGGTACTCTGCCAACTATTTTCTGGGACGACCAACTCAACGAAACAGTGGTATAACGGGAGCTGGTGAGGAATGCCGGCATTTATTAATAATGAAATTTCATATTTAACCTGGGTGGTGTTTCACTGACGCTGCCAGCGCGCTGCCGGCGCATCTCGCGAGCTGTGTGACACACGAAGCCCATTGCTCCAACACGACCACAAGTCTGACGTCGGCGCGCTGGCAGCGTCGGTGATACGCCGCCCTGGGTATGCAGCGTCACCGGATAACAGGGACAGGCTACACTACACAACATCCACGGCCACGACCGGTTCCGTTAGTCTGCGGCCGGCGGTGACGTCAGCCGGTGGCGTCACAGCCGGCCAATGGCCACTCACCCTGGAGCCGACGGTGACGTCAGCGGCAGAGGACGACTGTTGAGAGGAGCCGGTACTGGCGGCCGTGTGCTGGACGCCTGCAAAGGTCAGCGCCAGTCAGAGCAGCCCACCGAGCGCCGCTCCCCGCGCGCACCGCCACCGGCCGCCCCCAAAACGGTACCGGCGCCGGCCGGCCGGCCTCACCGCCCCCAAAACGGTACCCGTGCCGGCCGGCCTCGCCGCCCCCAAAACGGTACCCGTGCCGGCCGGCCGGCCTCACCGCCCCCAAAACGGTACCCGCGCCGGCCTCACCGCCCCCAAAACGGTACCCGTGCCGGCCGGCCTCGCCGCCACCGGCCGCCCCCAAAGGGGTACCGGCGCCGGCCGGCCGCCCCCAAAACGGTAGGGGAGAGTGGGGAAAGATGCCCAGGGTTTCGCTATGTCATATATTATTCGAAAATGACGACCGGAAAGCAAAAACTTGGAGTTTCAACGGAAGCCGACATCATTTTTCTCCAAAAATATCACACTTCCGTGAATGAAATAGGATAACTTTTTTTGCTATTAAGCATTTTCCTGAAGAAGTGAAAGGGGGCATCTTACCCCACAGGGTGGGAAAGACACCCCTGGCGTTGGGGAAGATGCCCCCTGCACTTTAAGTGACATAAATGGTCACGTGAATCGCCTGAACGAATCAGTAGTCCCTTCGAGCCTGCAGTAAACACCAAACGTCATCGTAAGGGCCCTCAAAAGTAGTCGTAAGGGGCTTCAGAGGTTATCGTTAGGGCCATCATACGAGTAGTCCAGCGCGGCCAAGCAAGCCTCCGTGGTGGCGTTCGGAGACCACTGTGGGGCCCTTATAGGTCTTCATGATGCTTGAGGGCCCTCGAGCCCATCGTGGGGACCTCAGATGCCAGCGCGGCCCGTGGAGCCAACGTGGAAGCCCTCAAAGGATGTCGTGAGGGGCCCTGGAGCCAATAATGGGGCCCGCAGAGGCCGTCGTGAGGGCTCTCAGAGTCAGATGCCGCCCAAAAAGTCGCTGTGTGGGCCGAGAGACCGGCATGGGGAGCACCCGACCGTACCGGACTCTCATTAGTCCCAGATCGGCTTTTGTCTCTCATCACAAGCATGCAATAAATGATTTGACGGGCTGCTTGAAGGACAGCCTACGGATTTAGGGGGGACGTCTTTCCCCATCAGGACAGGGGGCATCTTACCCCAAGGTACCGAAGTAACATTAAATCAGTACAATTTGTTAGCCATAAAACTACACCCTGAAACAAACTGTTTGGGACACAGTACACGCATGTAAATGTATCACGACTATAGCAAGGGACGCAAAAATTATCTACCTTCTTTGATAATTACAATGTTTTAACACCAAAACATTTTTTGAAAGCAGCAAATAAAAAACATGCAATCACCAGCCAGCCGTTACCCAACTGAGCTTCGCAAATTTTTGTGAAGTTAACGAGGCAGGCTTCCGCTTTACGCTAAGAACACTAATTTCCAAGCTCGATTCTTTGTTTCGCCGCTAGAGGGGGTGGGGCGTCTTTCCCACCCTGGGCATCTTACCCCACTCTCCCCTACCGGCGCCGGCCGGCCGGCCTCACCGCCCCCAAAACGGTACCCGCGCCGGCCTCACCGCCCCCAAAACGGTACCGGCGCCGGCCGGCCGGCCTCACCGCCCCCAAAACGGTACCCGCGCCGGCCTCACCGCCCCCAAAACGGTACCCGCGCCGGCCTCACCGCCCCCAAAACGGTACCCGCGCCGGCCTCACCGCCCCCAAAACGGTACCGGCGCCGGCCGGCCGGCCTCACCGCCCCCAAAACGGTACCCGCGCCGGCCGGCCTCGCCGCCACCGGCCGCCCCCAAAACGGTACCGGCCGGCCTCGCCGCCACCGGCGGCTGCCCGAACGGCCTCCCATTTGGCGACAGTTAATAGCAACGATGCTCTTTACTGAGGCAGATAAAAAATCAATTAAGCATCATATAATGAATGAATTGCTTGTATATCATCACCCTTTTCCGTGGATATTTATCTAATGCCTGAAGCAGACTCTTTCCGCAGTCAGGAAATCGCATGCGAGAGCCTATTCAAATACATGGAAGCACGCTCGCATCAATCGCACGCACCTCCCAGATGCGATTGATGCGGGAAGAATTATAATGTATTTGAATAGGCTCTCGCATGCGATTTCCTGAACGCCGAAAGAGTCTGTTTCAGCCTTAAATGTAACACCCATTAAAAATTTACCCGCGAGTTCCTGGGGGGACGTTAAAAGCACACAATTTTCGCCGCACTATGGCTAAAAAACGGCGCCGAAGGTGCGCCAAATTTTGGATACCAGAAGGGATTTGATTGAAGTTTGTTGTAACCAAGTTTCAAGGAAAATCTGTTGATTTTTTTTTTTTTTGATACCATAAACGGGGTGACGTTGCCAAGCGGGATGACTTTGCTACGTGTCTCGACAATGTTTTAGGATGATCTCTAGCTAGTGATATTTTACAATGGAAATAATCATTTTTTATGCACCTATGAAAGATAATTGATGGTCCTTCCAATAGTACCAGCACTGAGACTGCCAATACAATATTAACCCTAGAACGCCTAGGGGGGGGGGGGTTGTATCAACCCCCCCCCCCCTGAGGTTTTTTTCGAAGTGCACGCTAAACGGCTTGTCGTAGCGGGCTGAAATTTTCAATACCCTCTGGGGCAACCTTTGCGCATCTTTTGCCGAAAAAAATTGATCGGGTCATGTCAGGTCACGGAGTTATGACGTCATAAGAGGTACAGCCTCCGGCCGACAGTTACCAAACGTGTGCGCCGAATCCCTAGGTTTTCTGCCGGTGATACCCACATTGTTTGATGGATCATGATGAAACTTCCCATGCATGTTGGGGCAAGTATTGGCTATCGTGTGGTGCAAGAAAATTGACCGGGTCAGGTCAGGTCACGGAGCTATGACGTCACAAGAGGAACAGCGTCCGGTACTATTTTTGAAAAGCGCCCGAACCACTATTTTGCTAATTCTTGTCACCTCAATGGGAATATGCAGCAATATTAGCTTCTATAGGGAGCAAATGGACCTCCCAAATCCAAAAATACAATCAGATTTCAAAAATTTAAATTTTGATTTTTCGAATTTCTGCCGCCGACTGTGATCTTGCCGACTTCCGGCGCTCCCAACGCGCCATTTTTAGAGCTAGGGAAACGAAATACATACCAAACGATAGAGAATTGATCAAGAAACACGATAGTGAAGGTTTCAAGTCGATATCTCCCACCGTTTTGCCGCAATCGCCGCGGAAAGTTGAAAAAGTTTGATTTTTTCGGAAAATTTGACCTTTGACCGGTCATAAGTAGGTCAAATGTTGACCTAGGACCAAAAAATATACCACCAATCGCGAGATCTCGTTGAGAGCAATCCGTTGGTTTTTTCCGCTAAGCTCTACGACCTTCCGTTTCGAAACGCCAGGGGGGGTCGTAACACCCCCCCCCCCTGGTCGTTCGTGTTATGAGAAATGGCCTGGTCGTGCGAGGGTTAAGGTACAATCAAATGGCTATCTCTGCCTTTTGATTATCGTTCTATATTTCCCAAAAGCTTGAACTAAATTTTGAGAGATTCTCGTGACAACTACACAACCATGACGCACGCAATTCTTAAAGCTCCATCCTTCTCCGTCTCTCCGTCCCAGCATCCATCCCTCCGTGTCCCTCCGTCTATCCGCCCCTCGTCCCTCCATCCTTCTCCGTCTCTCCGTCCCAGCCTCCATCCCTCCGTGTCCCTCCGTCTATCCGTCCCTCGTCCCTCCATCCTTCTCCGTCTCTCCGTCCCAGCCTCCATCCCTCCGTGTCCCTCCGTCTATCCGTCCCTCGTCCCTCCATCCTTCTCCGTCTCTCCGTCCCAGCCTCCATCCCTCCGTGTCCCTCCGTCTATCCGTCCTTCGTCCCTCCATCCTTCTCCGTCTCTCCGTCCCAGCCTCCATCCCTCCGTGTCCCTCCGTCTATCCGTCCCTCGTCCCTCCATCCTTCTCCGTCTCTCCGTCCCAGCCTCCATCCCTCCGTGTCCCTCCGTCTATCCGTCCCTCGTCCCTCCGTCCTCTCCGTCTCTCCGTCCCAGCCTCCATCCCTCCGTGTCCCTCCGTCTATCCGTCCCTCGTCCCTCCATCCTTCTCCGTCTCTCCGTCCCAGCCTCCATCCCTCCGTGTCCCTCCGTCTATCCGTCCCTCGTCCCTCCATCCTTCTCCGTCTCTCCGTCCCAGCCTCCATCCCTCCGTGTCCCTCCGTCTATCCGTCCTTCGTCCCTCCATCCTTCTCCGTCTCTCCGTCCCAGCCTCCATCCCTCCGTGTCCCTCCGTCTATCCGTCCCTCGTCCCTCCATCCTTCTCCGTCTCTCCGTCCCAGCCTCCATCCCTCCGTGTCCCTCCGTCTATCCGTCCTTCGTCCCTCCATCCTTCTCCGTCTCTCCGTCCCAGCCTCCATCCCTCCGTGTCCCTCCGTCTATCCGTCCCTCGTCCCTCCATCCTTCTCCGTCTCTCCGTCCCAGCCTCCATCCCTCCGTGTCCCTCCGTCTATCCGCCCCTCGTCCCTCCATCCTTCTCCGTCTCTCCGTCCCAGCCTCCATCCCTCCGTGTCCCTCCGTCTATCCGTCCCTCGTCCCTCCATCCTTCTCCGTCTCTCCGTCCCAGCCTCCATCCCTCTGTGTCCCTCCGTCTATCCGTCCCTCGTCCCTCCATCCTCTCCGTCTCTCCGTCCCAGCCTCCATCCCTCCGTGTCCCTCCGTCTATCCGTCCCTCGTCCCTCCATCCTTCTCCGTCTCTCCGTCCCAGCCTCCATCCCTCCGTGTCCCTCCGTCTATCCGCCCCTCGTCCTCATCCCCGTCAATCCGTTCTCTCCATTCCTCCTTCCGCGTCCCTCCACGTCCCTCCATCCCCGTCCCTCCATCCCCCGTCCCTCCGCCCCCCGTCCTTCAGTCCCTTTCCGTCCCCCCGTCCCCTGCCCCTCTCCGTCCCCCTCTATCCGTCGCTCGGTGGACTGACCGTGTGCGGCGCCGTCCGGGCCGACCGAGTTGGTCAGAGCCAGGGCGTCCGTCTTGGTGCCCTTGGCCGTGTCGCCCGACGAGCGAACGATTCCCGTCGACGTGGAGAATCGGCCGTCATTGAGCGCGATGCTGCCCGTCAGAAGCACCGCTGTGGACACAGGCGATCGTCCGTCATTGAGCGCGATGCTGCCCGTCAGAAGCACCGCTGTGGACACAGGCGATCGTCCGTCATTGAGCGCGATGCTGCCCGTCAGAAGCACCGCTGTGGACACAGGTGATCGGCCGTCATTGAGCGCGATACTGCAAGTCCGGAGCCCCTTTGCTAAGAGAGTTCCCCCCTCAACGGAACGTAGGTGTTAAAGGAAATATATCAATTTAATATATCGAATTTAAATATATCGAAGGCCTGAAGCCAGATACATAACCACTTAACCTAAAAATATTTGATTTACTATTGCCTGTAATCTCTCCTAAGGCATTGCCTTCGGCACTGCACTGCTTCGCATTGAGCTGGTTCCGTGTTTTTGTTTACATAATGACGTAATTTTCAGTGACTTTGTAATTCCTGGACATTATGAACTCTGGCCCATTCAAGGCACTGGACATTTCGACACTGGGCATATCGTACCCTGGACGTTATGAACCCCGGCCAGAATGAATGCTCCTCTTTTCCATAACGCAAGTGACTTGGGGGTGGGCTCTACAGAGCCCTCCCCTCCTATCTCCGAAACTACTGGGCCGATCGTCAAAATTCAAACGGCGTCTGATAGCCCTGGAAATTGGAAAACTGTCGAGCGAAACCTAATATCATTGACCTTGATGTCAACGATGACGTCACAGGTCAGATCAAAGCAAAAATTATCAGCATTTTGGCTTGTTCACAATTTAGGTTCTTGCCACCGGCTTACAAGCCCCATGAGGCTCATTTTTGGTTTACGCACTCCTTGATATATGCCTTAGATGCGGTGAGGATACCAAACTTTTACTTTGAATTTTTCAGGTCAAGGCCAGGTCATCCTAGGTCACGAAAATTGTATATCATATATCGGTCACCTGACGCTTGTTTCATGGTCCATTTTACACGTAGATTTTGAAAATAATGTCTGTGTCATTTGAGGTCATTTTCAGCTGAATTTACCGAAGGTCAAGTCAATTTCAGGTCAGAAAAGGTCAAATTTAGAAAATGAAATTTTCCAACAAAGAAGGTGCCTATCAGATGCAGTTTGAGCTCAGGAACACGATGGTGCCATTAATATTGTTGTACGATGTCAAAAACGTACTGAAATATGGCTTTGAAAAATATACATATAATTGTAAAATTTTGACAATAATGCACATAACTTAGCTACTTTTGAATATATTGGGCTACAGCTTGCTAGGGTAATTTGTCAGTGTGTGTTCTATCACATACATTTCGGTTTTTGCGAAAAATTAAAAAAAACTTTTTGAAAAAATATATATATTTTTGTAATTGAAAAACATATTTGTCAAAATTTTCAAAAATTTTGAAAATTTGAGATAGCCGTTCGATAGCTACGTGTATTTGTGATCCACTGATGCAAAGAAATTGTATCTAGCTTTAAAACTGAGCTTTTGAGAGCGTTTGCCGTAATTCAATATTTTGCATCAAAATCAGCCGACATGACGCCACTCTGACGTCATTTCTGGCCCAACTATGGTAGCTAGAAAGTTGACATTTTAACACAAGGTGTCAAATTTATACCGCTGAAGATACTGCAAGTTTCGTGTTGATCTGTGAAACGGTTTAAAAGATATTGCCGAAAATGGGAAAGGGCTCTGTAGAGTCCCCCCAGTCATGCGCGGTTTAAGCCGCTTCGAAACATATATTTTTTTACCTGGAAAGGTCAAGGTCAAATTTTGACCTCAGGTCAAGGTCACATGGTGACCCAAATAGGTCATGCTGCATATCATTCGATGTGTCTCGACAAGACAAGCACAATGAAGCCATCCCCAGCGTTCTATCTCTTTCCAATCGGGAGTTATTGGCAAAAATCTGTTTGTAGCCTCAAATGACCTCGGATGATCTTTCTAGAGGCTATCAGCAAAAACGACACCTTGGTCGTCACGGGTGGTCCAAATCATTGTGATTCTGAAACAGTTGTACCGTTCCTATGCGTACACACGGATCTAGAGGCATTTTCATTTTTCTCCATTGACTTATAATGGAAAGGTCACGCCACTGTCCTGACCTCAGGTCACAGATATAAAAAAATATCCGAGAAATACAAATTGTAAGTGCCCATAACATCATGCAATCCACCAAGTTTAAAACCTTTCTTACAAACACTGCAGGCTGGACATGATTGCAAACTTGTTTAGGCTTGGTCAGTTAACTTGACCTGGTGACCTGGCCTGACATGACCTGGGGTCAAAAATTTCACACATCGTCCAAAATTGATGTACAGAAAGATACTCCAAGCGGCGTGGCGCTACTCCCCGCGGTTAGTTCTTTTGGTTTGGAACGGGTGGGCTGAATCAAATGGGAGGATGATCGGAGCGGCCATGGGTTTGATGAATAGTTCTGTGGTGAGGGAGCCATCATCTTCGAAGCGGATCAAGGTGTCCAAAAATGGGATTTGACGAGTGTTTGAATGTTTCGTTTCTACTATTAAGTGCACTTATCTACCGTCCATGGTGGTTATTTACCGCCTGTTCCGGTGATCTATCGTCACTGTCGGGTATTTACTGTTGGAGCTGGTTATTGACTGCCGGTTCCCGCGGCGTCGTCGCTACTGGTTCTTTACTGTTGGTTCCGGCGCAATCGGCAGTAGCTATTCATAATCGAGTGTGGTTATTTGCCATTGGTTCTGGCGAGGTCGGTAAAGGCTATTCGACATCAACAGTGGCTATTTAGTGTTGTACCATTTATCCTCCGTCCTTTTAGGCGCAGTCCGTAATGGTTATCAATTATCATTCATGTGTATATTTTACCGAAGGTTTCGGCATGTTCTGAAGCGGTTATTTACCGTCGGTGGTGTTTACATAGTGATGGTTACTTTTCCTTGGTATGTAAGTTATTGTGTGTAAAGTATTGTGTGTAAGTTAAGTTATTGTGCATCCTCTTTTGACACGTTTTTGCTATAATAGGCGGATCCAGGCGTCCAAAAAGGGGGGTTATGTTTTACCTCCCAACATAGGTGCCCTGACACCGCCTATGCATGACCAATACAATTGTAGTCGTTCTCTCATAAGAAAATTGTAACATAACAAGACCATTACCACCCTTTTTAGAAACAGTACCAACAAAAACCTTATTTACTCTTTTTGTGTACCCCCAATTTCAATGATCTGTATCCACCTATGATTTTTGAAAATGCATATTTTTAGGATCCATGTGAATTCCTGGTTCATTCTCTATCGATCGGCAAAAGTTGCGTTAAAGGGACTATCCCACCTTCTAAAATGTTGTTAAAACCAGTTAAATTGTGCCCGACTATATAGATTGGATGACCAGGAACACGGTTCTGGCATTTATTTTTCATTAAACATCTTAGGCTTCCCATATTCCAAACACAAACTTTCAAATATGTGACGTCACAGCCCAAAATTACCTCCTTCCCCAGGCCACATTACTGTCATAAAGCTGATTCTTTTTACTCTCTAGGCACCATGGGCGCCGCCACCGGGGGGGAGGGGGGGACGCGTCCCCCCCACTCTCAGAATGGAAGGGGGACGTCCCCCCCCCAAACTCATTACGGAGCGAGCGAAGCGAGCGTAGTCTTTCGTAGGTTAAAGGAAATTTCTGAGTATGCCACGGTCACGCTTTTGCTAGGCTTATATCTCAGCAACCACTTGACCGATTTACATGCGGTACTTTTTGTAAGGTAGCACTAGATTCGTTCCTTCTAACGAGTATCGGACTATTCCCGATGCATGTGAGTGACCCCATATGCACGTGCCACGTGAAAAACGAAGAAGTGTCAGTTAGTTTGTAACAATTTCAATATCTTGGCAACTACTGGGCTGATTGCGCTGAAAGTTGGCATGTAGGTAGGTATACCCACTAGGCAATGCATATCCATGTGCCACAGTTGGGCTGCTGCTGCACGTGCGCACATGCAGGGGTCAATTCCAGATCTCGAGAACGGCTGAACCGATTGTGCTGAAATCTGATACATGTTAGGGAGCGGTTAGTAGGGTGCCGTGCAAAAGTCAGTTGGGACCCATTTTGCACGTGCGCACGTGCAGGGTGCCGCTTCCAGATCTCGAGAACGGCTAGGCCGATTGCGCTCAAATTTGGCACATCGTTAGGGACCGGTTAGAAGGGTGCAGTGCACAAGTTAGTTGGAGGTATCCCCTCGCAATTTCGCACGTGCAAGGCCCACCCCACCCTCTCGTTCGCTCCGTTGGTCGCCCCAAAAGGCGTTTTACTGGCTGCTATCCTACTCGAAATTTGATTAGGCCCTTCGGTCCAATGAGACCATTTCAGAGCAGGTTTCAGAGCCGCAAGTATGAAAGAATTAGTGGGAGACATTAGTCAGGGCAGCCACCCCAGTGAGCCACTTGGGATGAACCCGACCAATTGAACAGGCAGCCCAGCCCACTGGCAATCACTGCACCCGGCAAAGAACTATAGCTCCAGTGGAGCCATTCCCGCATGGGATAGAGTTGCCCGTCCAGCCCGGAGCAGGGGGTTGCGGCGTGGAGGAGAAGGATTTGACCGTCCTGAGGATGGAAGAGATGGAACGGCCGGTGGCGAATCTGAGAGGGTCCAGGAGGTTTAGACACTCAGTATATGGGGTGTGGGCCTACATGCATTGGTCTGACCCCTGCCACCTCGGCCAACAAAATCTCCAGCTCTTATCCGACCTGTCATCGCGGAACTGCCGATTTTTTATATCGTGATCAACGTGTATAACACGACTGGCCGAACACGGGCCTAATATATTTCGTCTAACCAGCCAAGACTTTACACCAATCCGACCTCGAAGTCAAAATCCGAACATTTTCGAAGACTTCAACTCCGACTCTGGCCAAAACTGGCCAAAACAGTCAACTCCGACTGATTCCGGCTCCGATCCTACACTTCTGCAGTCACGCTGCACTAAATTTCCTTCCAGCTTCTAAGAAATAAGCTATACGGTTGACAGGACCACAAAACTTTGAGGCGACTTGACTACAGGGTGTCCCAAAAGTAAGGTCATCATTTGTTTTGGCCACACTGCCAAAAATACGCGATGGATAGATATAAATAGGACATCATATGAAAGAGCATTTTATAAAATTTTATTCTGACATATATATGAGTCAATACATTGGCTCGTAGCCCCACATTTGCTGCTTTTCTACATGGCTACCATTTCGGGCCGCGTGCATGAATAGACTACGTTTGACTTCCTCCACTATTCTGGAGCGATTCTCTGGTGAGATGCCGCCTATGTTTGCTCGAAGGGATCATCCTTTAGTTCTTCCCGGCTCGTTGGGTTGTCCTAAAAGACAATCTTTCTGTTGTGTATCCAGATAATAAAAATATGAAGGTGTAACGTCAGGTGACCGCGGAGGCCATTCAATGGCGTTGCCCTGACTGAAAATTACGGGATCTCACATCCACTCTCGGAGACAATGCATGATCTTCAGGACGGTGCAAGCATAGTCTCCATCCTGCTGAAACCACTGCTGGCTGATGGTGTCGGCACAGCTGCGTTGCGACGAGCGGAAGAACCACTGGGAGGACTCTCGGCCACCTCTCTCGATTTATTGTCACCCGATTCCCGCTGTCGTCCTCAGGACCTCTAAGCACAGGTGGCTAAGTATACATGCCCTGTGCGTACATTATACCTTTTTTCTGACGTTTTACCGGTTGAGGCGAAACTATGCATGAGTTCAGAGATAGGGCGAGCTGATAGGGTCTGCTTAGGGCCGAAAACTGGGCGGTATTTACCCTTTGTTTTAATGACGGACCCTCTCTAAGAGTTGAATTTCGACCTTCTCAGTTTTATGCCTACTGCTCGGTGCAGTTATGATCAAAAATGGTTTAAGCATGCAAGAAAATAATTTTATGGATGTACCTTGCACGTGTTAAAATTGGAAGTGATTCGGACACTTACTTCTCGAGATATTTAAGTTTTAAATCATGACCTTACTTTTGGGACACCCGGTACTTGACTTGGTTTTCCTGACCTAAGGTTTTCTGGTATCAAGCTTGTCACACGGGCTGCAAAATTTGTATTTTTGAGCAGTTTTGCCTAATGCTTTTTGCCAATTTTCGCGGCGCTTCGCGCCGATTCATGCACAAACCAAAAAGAGAGATTGGTGACTATAATACAACGCCCCCCCCACGCGGGTATGCAATATGCAATATGCATTATCGATCAAATTAGTGGCATACATCAGCAATTATACCGTGATAGAACACGAGGCTTTGCCGTGTCAAACTGAATCGACACATCAGATGTTTATATAGGTAGATACTCGGTGGGAATGCGGTCTATAAATACCTAATCCTGAACTATACTTTCCTCAAACCAGTTGTTTTGCCACAGTTTTAGGAGTTTTTAAACTTAAAATGGTCAGGAAATAATGAAGAGTTCCAACAGGAATTTTATATTTATTTTTACATCACTCTTTTCCATCTTTCGTAGAAGCTACTTACCTATATTGCAGCGGAAGCTGATTACGCGTTGACCAAGCATAGTACGTAGTTCAAACCAGCTGAATGCTGATTGGCTAGCATTTTTCCGTAAGGGAATGGATTCCTCGGTAAGGGAATGACAAAGTGTCATCTATGGGAATGACTTCAGTCTTCAAACCTAAAATCGATACCGATATATTTGGCTAGGGTGATCGTTGGGCCATAAAAGCTCCTGATTTGTTCTGTTCTCGTCTCAGCTCAAGCTACAAAACGGTTACTTCAGATCAAAACCCTATGTTAAAAGTGGCACATTTGCTTTAAACGTTGAATGCATCCGACCGAAAAAGCCACGGTAAAAATGTCTACTTTTGGGTTTTCAGTCCGGGTCAGTCCGTCCCCCCCCCAGTCAAAAATCCGTGGCGGCGCCCCTGTCGGCTTGTCGGCTTGCAGTTCCACAAATGAAAAGCGCGGACATTTCATGTATTTTATTTTAAATCATTTGGAGGGTTTGATAACAATGATTAAGTACCGGTCACATTCATTCCCTCATATCACAGCTATCCCTGAATCTCTTTGGCACAGGTCCTACGATCGGCGGCGGATTATCATATCAATCGCTGACGCCCCGCCCCTCGCGACGTCCTGTCCCTCCTGCCGCCCCGCCCCCCGCGACGACCTGTCCCTCCTGCCGCCCCGCCCCCCGCGACGTCCTGTCCCTCCTGCCGCCCCGCCCCCGCGACGTCCTGTCCCTCCTGCCGCCCCGCCCCCCGCGACGTCCTGTCCCTCCTGCCGCCCCCCCCCCTGGCGACTGTGTGGGGTGGGTGACACAAGACTGTGGCCGCCTGACCTCTCCTGTCCCTCGTGCCAACATGTACCCCAAATTACCGCGCTGTACTCAGTGGTGGATCAGTGGGCCGCGGCGGTACGCGAAGCGACTCACGCTAACCCTGATCTTACCAGCATACTACAGGTATACATCAATAGCAGGTGCAGACTCACCCAGCACGGTGCCTTGCGTTATTCCCTTCAGCCAAGCGTACAGCGTCGCAATGGATCAGCATCCGTGAACTTGGCACCTCAGATGATACAGTCGGCCGTATCACATTGGTTATCACGATAGTGCAGCCGTGTAAATGCACGTCATACTAGGCCGCGGTGCACTTCAATCAGCCAGCAGCATATCGTCATTTTCGTAAAATCCACCTGATCATTTCAGTAGTGATGCGGTCACTAGCCTCAGGGCAGCCCGGTTCAGTACAGTAGAATCACGGAGTCGCCTTTGGCCACGGACGCTGGAGCTATTTCGCCGGCCATCAGTCCCTATCGAGCAGCCACTGCACTGAGGGCCCCTCCCTCCCATCACAGTACGCAGCAGCGCGTCAGCGGCAGGGGCGCACACCGTGCCAGCGGCAGGGGCGCACACCGTGCCAGCGGCAGGGGCGCACACCGTGTCAGCGGCAGGGCGCACACCGTGTCGGCGGCGACTGCACGCCCAGCGGTACACGCTACAGGCGCTCATCGCCCTCGTCCCCGGAGGCAGTCGGCCCGTCCTCCCCTGCCCCTCCGTCTCCGTCTCCGTCTCCGTCCTCGTCTCCGTCGTCGTCTCCGTCGTCGTCTCCGTCGTCGTCGTCCACCTGCTGAACGTCGGCCGCCTCCACGGGGGTGACGCACAGCACCGTGTCCTTGAAGCCCACCGACTTGGCCGCGTAGTCGGGCCGCGGCTCGGCCGGAGGCGCCGCCCCCTCCGTCCCCATTGGCTGAGCCGCCGCGCCAGCGCCGCTGACCGGCGGGTCGGCCGGCAGGGGCGGATACAGGGAACTCTCCGCGGGAGGCGATTTTTGCAGGCGGTCCGTCTCCTCTGGAATTCTCGCCAGCTCCGCCGGCTGCGGACGGACAGAGGTAAGCGTTGCAGCAGCGTATCGGTATGCGAGGATCCTGATGTTAGGGGATGTCCAGCAGAATAGCACGCGATTCGTAAGAGTGTTAGCCGCGCCTATTATTGGCATTTTCCTAGTCGCTAACGTGTGGGAAGGGCTGGACCCTTCCCCAGTCGTTCGGCCCCTGATCGAGATAGAGCTTTGCGAAAAGAACGCGAAGAGCTCACCTGCTCTGCGCTGAAGGCCCGGTTGTCGTAGGAGCTAGGAGCCGCCGAGGGGGCGCTGCTGCTGACCTCGGAGTGATGATTCAGAGCGGTTCGCGAGTGAGGGCCATCAGCGGCGTCACCAGCCGCGGCTCTGCCCGACTCCCAGTCGGTATCTGTGCCACTGCGCAGAGGCCAGGTCAGGCTCAAATCAGGCCAGGGTCAGACCAGGTCGGGGTCAGGTCATGTCGGGGTCAGGTCATGTTCAGATCGGGGTCAGGGTCAGGTCAGGTCAGGAACAGGGTCAGGTCGGGGTCAGGTCAGGTCAGGTCAGGAGCAGGGTCGGGGTCAGGTCGGGGTCAGAGTCAGGTCAGCTCAGATTCAGGATCGGTGTGTGCCCACCTGTTGTGCTGTGGCGGCGGTCCGGACCGTTTTCCTCTTCCGTAGAGGATCCCCACAGCTACCAGCAGCGCCAGGACGGCACAGCCGAGCACCGCCAGGCCCACGATGTAGCCCGTGTCGCTCGGCGGCACCCCTGCCGGGGACACGTCACAGACTCACAGGGGTCACGGGTCACTGGTCAGTGGCACATGAGCCGCCCCAGCTTCAGTGGTCGCCATGTAACATTCAATGTTCTGCGTGCTATGTATTCAATTCATACAAAATGTGTGTGGGTTGAACTGGGTAGCCTATTTTCAGTTGCACATTGTGATCAGCAGTGCTAGCAGTAGGTATGAGTACTTCAACTACCACTTTTTGTGTGCGTTGCCATCTAACTCGGGTATACACATACACATATAGTGTGTCAGTCAGACCCCTCAGTGTTTCCCAAATGACTGGCGGAACAGCGTCAGATTACCGCGACAATAAACACGAGTTCAGTGGACACGAGTCAACCAAACATACAGCTACTTCTACTACTTCTACAGCTACTACGTCTACAGCTAAGTTCTTTCACGGTCTACACCCCAGCCACTTTTGACCTGTGATCTCTTTCTGAGGACTATGTCAGACAAAAAAGTGACGATTCTTTTTACGTCGGCGCACATCGACAGTTCCCAGCAAGAACTTATCCTAAGTGTCAAATTTTTCGAAATTGAGATGTTCATACCATTCGACTCAGCTCGTCGAACTGAGTCGAATGGTATAAAAATCTCAACTTTGAAAAAAAATGACACTAAGGATGTTCTTGCTCGGAACTGTGGACATTATCTGTGCCTGTCCGTTTGCAAATTTATTGGGATTAGAAGCATGCCAACCTGGGTGTTACCTTCCTCCAAGTCATGCTCAAAGTCATATAATAGGGCCACCGGCCAGGGGGTGCTCGGGTCATGTGAAAGTTACGTCAAGTTAATTAGCTTTCAACTTGCACAATAGACTTTTTAAATTTGTATACGCGTCAGTTCCGGCCGTACCTATTGTTTGGGTTTCCACGTTTTCTTGTCAGGATGTGTAAAAGTGACGCTGAAAGAGGTATCCGAAGATTGGTGGCTACTAGCCTTCGTTCAATAGATATGGAGGAAAGATGAGGGGGAGGGGGGCATGTTGGCCCGTTTCCTACGGACCGGGGGCCCTCGTCCGCACATGGGGGGGGGGGTCATCCCCCACAGGTAGTTTTTTTCTACTCTGCACTCAACATTTTTAACCCGCGCCCCGCTGGGGGGGGGGGCAGAATCTGCCCCCCCCTCCCGTTTTTCGCCAATAACTTCTAAACGCGTTACGCCAGCGACGTCAAACTTTCAGTACCTTATCATACATCAATTTAACACGTTCCCTGAAAATTTGAGCGAAATCCGTCGAAAATTTTTTGAGAAATTGACGTTTTTGTGACGTCATGTTCGCCATTTTCGCCTCAAAAACGGCAAAATTTCAAACGCCGCTAACATCTTCATTTGTAAAGGAATCAAGACGCAACAAAAAAGGTTACACGTGATTCTACTTTGTCTATCAAATGGCTATCTCGGTTTTTTGAAAATTTTGGATTTTGGCCCAAATTTTTTCAAAAAACTGATTTTTTTGGGAAAATAATGATAAAATCCAAAATTTTGGGTGTATCAAAAAAAACGGAATATATGTCAGAGAAGTAGTCTATGTGCACCTACATACCAATTTTTAGAAGAATCGGTTCAAAAATGTGGGAGTTATTCAAAATTTTATGACGTCACGACACACAAAAATTTTGAAAAATGATTTTTTAGGAAGTTCTAGACCTCGTACGGAAACATAAATAGCACCATTCGATTCGCCGTGAAAAACTGCATCGGATAGACACCTTTTTAGGCCTTAACAACCAACTTCAAAATTTGACCTCACTTGACCTGACCTTGACCTGACCTCGACCTGAAATTCATCCAGAGGTGGTCCATATCACTTATTGAGTGTGCCTATTGAATTCTATGAGTAAAATCACCCATAAAACATGTGTCGCACATGCCCTTTTCTATATTTTGTTTTTGGTGACCTGACCTGACCTGACCTGACCTTGACCTTGACCTTTGAATGACATTGCATGCAACGAATGTTGTCTTGGTAGTCTAAGAACACGTTTTGGGCAATCAGTCTCAGTCCATTCTTCGGCAACTACGGTGCAAGGCCGATACTGTAGAAACTTGCATTTTGTACCCTTGACCTGACCTTGACCTGACCTCTGACCTACTTAAGAAAAAAAATTGGTGCTCTTTAGATCCGCCTTGTTGAGAGCTTTCGATTGCCGTTTTCCCCGTCTTTCTACGACCATCGGTTCGGAAGTTAGACAGGGGGGGCAGAATCTGCCCCCCCCCCCCCCAGCAGGGCGCGTATGGCTGAATAGCCCAGCGGGGCGCGGGTTAAAGCTAGAAGCCTGATTTTTTCGTATAGCTGCTTCTCTATCCTCTCTTAGCGTTCACGGAGAGTTTCAAGTTTCTGTGGTTTCTGGTTTTGGAGATATGACCCTGTTCTTCAGGTCAAGTTACGACCAAATGACAAATACCCAATATCTTGCGATGGCTTTGGGTCTTGTGATTTTTTGACACCTTGATTTCGGTATGTTCTTGCTAGTCTTACCTCTCACCTATATCATGGGACATGTTATTCGACGATGTGCAGATGTCAGGGTCAGGGTCAAGGTCAGCCTAGGTCATCTAGAATCATGGATTTAAGGGGCTTGCTGAATTTACTTTTCGTTAAGTTTTTTGACTGCATTTTTGGTAAGAGCTTCTCACTTCTCAGATCATGATATCATGTAATAGGGACACACAAACCAATCGGTGCACACATCAGTATTCAGTATAAACACAGACACACACGACATACAAACACATATAATTGGCCTTGACCTAACTTGACCCGAAATGACCACAGTCAGCAAAAACCTAGTCGGATAGTGTGACAAAGAGCTGTTCTAGCTGGATTGGCACCACAAACGGCAGCGCTCTCGGTATATGATGAGCATTGAGCAGCGCACGTGATGTTCCAACGGTGACCCCAAACAGCAACATTTTTTAGTTTGACCTGACCTGGAAGATCAATGACTCCTGATGGGGTACAATCGAGTATCATTGGATTCGTCTCTTCCAAAAGAATCTGTTGCTCTTTACCGCGAAGCACTATCTCCAGCAGAAACGAAATGGCGAGGGGGTTAGGCAGTAGGGCTGACCGAGATTACTTCGAATCGGACGAATTTCATAGTTCGGCTTCGGCTCACTATTTTTCCTATGTAAAATTTAATTTTAGATAGGGTCTTACATGAGACAAAAATTGATCAGGATACATCTTCCGTAGTAAAAATGCAGTTTTATGGGAACTGTTTCCAGATGTCGGTGGTATATTTGCAACATCAGTTCCGTACCTCCTCTTTCTTATCGATGAATGATCTTTTGCTTCGAAACCTCATCTTACGGAGTACGAGTCCGTAAGAATGGACGCCGGTGAAAACAGGGCGCTGGAGGGCATATTAATCACGTGACATTTGAAGCTTCTCCCCCTTTGTGGGCCTTTTACATGCCAAACGTCACGTATAAATTTCACGAACCTTGATCAAATCGCCCCAGGCGCCCTGTTTTCACCGTCGTCCCAAAGAATCAGGTTGGATGGAATACCGGTGGCTGCAAAAACCTACGAAACAGGTGAAGCTGCTCTTCAGAGCAATTTAAACTCTTCCAGAATTGCTGAATCTTGCCAGAGGCATTGGCGACTAAAGCCTCTCCCTCGGCAGAAACAATACAACGGCACTGATTAGTTGTTCACACATATCGCTACAGATACCTACACATAAACGATATCAATTTGTTGGATGCATGTTAATAACTATGCCCTTGAATGATTTTTCCTACTAGTAACATAAAGTGAAAAGGCACATGTCAATGCTGGTGTTAAGGTTAGGACCCAAATCTGTTGAAAGAACTCTATCAAAATATGCAATCGACTTCTGAGCTGATGCAAATCATTTAAATCAATTTTATTCAAATTTGTTTGCAATTGTCTACCAACAATCGCCATCGAAGTTCACTGAAGGAATATAGCTGAACAATTCAACGTTAACCTTCCAGGCGGTGGGGGGGGCATTTTTTTGCCCCCCCCCCTTTAGTTTTTTCGATATATCTCGAGAACCGCTGCGCCGATCGTCACCAAACTTTCGGTACCCTCCCGGGAGCAGCTAGCGCACATGGTGACCAAAAATTTTCCAAAGGCTATGATAGGTTGGCCGCTAATGACGTCAGAGTGACGTCATTTTTGCCATTTTCGACCCAAAAAAAGGTTTCGCGGGAAGAGCTGTCAGGCCTACAGCTTTAGAGATATAGAAAAATGTTTAGACATAAAAGGTGTAGAATTGAAAGGGCTACAAAACTGCTATTTCGGTTTTTCGATTTTTTTTTATTTTGACCCCCAAAAATCAAAAAATAGATTTTTTGAATATAATAGCCAAAAAATCCAAAAAGTTTTTTGAATTTCGAAAAAAACCGGAATATATGTGATAGCCCCTATCGCCTTCTACCTACATACCAAATTTGAGATAGATACCTCTTTTTTTGGCCAAGTTATAGCGAAAAAACTGTTCAAAATTGATGACGTCAAATTTTCAAACTCAATTTTTAGCAATTCTAGACCTCGTAGCGCAAAACAAAGACCACCATTAGACTCCCCGTGACGAGCTGCATCGAATCGATACCCATTTTGTGCAAAAATATCAACTTTGAAATTTGACCTTTTTTGACCTGACCTTGACCTGACCTCCACCAGAAAGTGACCTAAACCGTACCTGATGGTCTTATAACCAACACCATTGAGTTGGAAATGAAAAACTGGCCATAAAACATGCATCGCATAACCTTAGTAAAGTTGGGCTCATGTGGTGACCCTTGGTGACCTTTGGTGACCTGACCTGTGACCTGACCTGGTATGACCAGTGACCTCTAATAGCAACATATGTACTAGACAACTGACGCCTTATCGCTGATTTTCGACAAAATGCGTTTTACTCGGTGTTATAGCGCTTTCCCTAGAAGCCCCGTGAACGGTGAAACATTTTATCTTTGACCTGACCTGTGACGTCATCGGTGACCCCGAGGTCAATGAAATTTGGTTTCCCCCGACAAATTTGACAGGGCTATCGAACGCCGTTTGAATTTTCCGGATCCGTCCAGTAGTTTCGGAGATACGGGGGGGGCAAAAAAGTGCCCCCCCCCCCACCGCGCGGAAGGTGGCTGGTAGGCCCACCGCCTGCCGGGTTAAACATGTCAATGGGATCAGTAGGTTTAGCGATTTGGCGG